GGCCTGGTGCACTGGGAAGACCCAGAGGGATGGGGTGGAGAGGGAGGTGGGAGGGGGGACTGGGATGGGGAATACATGTAAATCCATGGCTAATTCATTTCAATGTATGACAAAAACCACTGCAATGATGTAAAGTAATTAGCCTCCAACTAATAAAAATAAATGGAAAAAAAAAAAAGCAGGTAACTGTAATATTCTGGATGTGGTAGGGAGAATTCTAAAAATGGCCCTTTAAGAGTTTTCTCAGGACTGTGAATATGATATAACATCCATGAATATATTACCTTATCTGACAAAAGAGATCTTATAATTTGTGAAAGTGAAGTCGCTCAGTCATGTCCGACTCTTTGCAACCCTATGGGCCTACCATGCTCCTCTGTCCATGGGATTTTCCAGGCAAGAGTAGTGGAGTGGGTTGCCACTTCCTTTTCCAGAGGATCTTCCCAACCCAGGGATCGAACCTGGGTCTCCTGCATTTTAGGTAGATGCTTTACCATCTGAGCCACCAGGGAAGTTACTAATAAATTGACTTTAGGTAAATTATACTAGATTATCTGGGTTGGCTTAATTTAATCACCTAACAGAAACAAAAGAAGAGGTAAAAGAGGAAGTCAGAATAATTCAAGGAATGAACTGAACATGACATGCTGTTGATGGTTTAAAGACGGAGGGTGCCCCACATGAAAGGGAATTCAGGCTATCTCGCTTTCCAGGTGGCACTAATGGTAAAGAACCCGCTTGCCAATGCAAGAGACATAAGAGACTCGGGTTCGATCCCTGGATTGGGAAGATCCCCTGGAGGGGGGCATGGCAATCCACTCCAGCATTCTTGCCTGGAGAATCCCACAGACACAGGAGCCTGATGGCCTACAGTCCATAGGGTCACAAAGAGTCAGACATGACTGAAAGGACTTAGCATGCACACACTAGAAACAAAGAGGCTACTGGCGGATAGTAGCAAGAAAACAGAAATGTCATCCCCACAACCTCAAGGAACTAAATTTCCCCAACAACTAGAATAAACTTGGAAGCAGATTCTTCCCCAGAGCCTGGAGATAAGAGAGCAACCCAGGGCCAGAACCTTGTTTTCCCCTCCCTAAGACCCTAGGTGGAAAACAAGCCAAACGCAGCTGGATATCTAAACTGCAGAACTGTGAGATAATAAGTGGCTACTGTTTTAATCTGCTGTTTGCCATAATTCATTTAAGCAGCAGTAGGAAACTAATATTCTAGGCTTTTAAAGAATTTAACCTTATCTTTACTTGTACCTATAGAGAGGCAGTATGGTAGAAGAGAAAGCCCACTGGTTTTGTAGCCACACAAGCCAAATTTGAACATATATTCAAATTTTGAATTATATTGTTAGTTGTATGACTTTGAGAAAATTAATATGCTCTGTTGAGCTTATTTTATTCATCTGTAATATGGAAATGTTCATAGCTACTTTACAGGATTGCCGGAGATTAAATTAAATTACAAGTGTAAAATGCTTAACACAGTGCCTGGCACATGACAGGTACTCAGGAAATGTTAGCTATTGTTATTAATCTGCTTCTATGTCTGTAGCTCTTTCAACCCTACCACCGATGCCTTTGGTAAGACCCATTTTAAAGGGAATGTAAAAGCATTCTTACCTTTCATGCTCTAGTTCTGAAAAGATACACAAATGCTTCTGATAATCATCATTGGGTGAAGTCCTCCATGATTAAAACTAAGATCATTTGGAATACTGAAATTTACTTAATATATATTATTATTAAAGAACAGAAGGATTTTAATCTTAAGATGAACATGAGGAATGGTACTGAATTCTTCCAGGTGACAATTCTTGCATGTTTTAAGTAGAAAGGATACATCAAGACATTTATACTCACCATAGGAAAATGACGCATGGGAATCTCAAATATAAACATAAAATAGAGCCAGAATTTTCTGATTCTACAGTAGGATTGTTTATAAAAATTGTTATGGATTGTTCAGAATCAGATTCTAGAGGCCCCTACTAGAAGTTATACTCATTTTTGTTTCATTTTTTTCTCCTAAAACTAATTAAAGTTAGTAGTAGAGATGTCTGTCTGCAATTACCTTTCATGTCTTTTAAACTTTTCATAGGACAGGTGATCATTTTCCGGTGATATCTAAATGGGAAAGGTTAAAACCAGTCATACAAAAGCCTTCCTTACTCAGCACAGGTGCTTATTTTCTATACTTTAAATTGACTGACATTTCAGTAACAATATTCTCTTTGCCTGGTCCTCAGTCTAACATTCAATTTCAGATTCCGCCCCCCCATTCATGAATGCAAGAGTGTTAAAGACTGTACCCTTAAAGATCAAGCAGTCCAACCTCCTTACATAATAAATAAGGAAACAGGGATTCAGAAAAATTAAATTACTTTCTCAAGGCCTTATAGCTAGTAGTGACCCAGAAGAAAACTCTCAAGATCTAAATATGGCCTGGATACTTGTCTGAATCAAGGGAAAAGGCAGTGATGGTAAATAAAATCCACAAAGGTATCCTCATAATCTTTATATAACAGACCTGAGAACTTGACTGTATTCAAGATAGCTAAGTAAGATGGAGAGCTGTATTACCTTAATAACTTAATTTTAGAAAGTCTCACTTATACTCCAATCAGACATTTCAAGTAAAAGTTAGGATTTTTTTGTTCAATACTCAACTAACTGGTTTCAGTGCATCCAGTTATATGGAGCTGGTGTTTGGTGGTCCAGCATTTTTTTATATGAAGTCCAATCACAGTTACAGTTTGCAGGTGGATTTGGTATTAAAAGACTTACAAGTAATATAGTAGCCAAGAAATCTGTAGAGCCAGTAGATTATAAAAGCAGGATAACACATGGAGATATTCTTAAAAGTTAATGTTTTCAGAGCAAATATTTTTTTGTTAGAAAGTTCATGTTTAGGTTGGAAGCATATATTAATGTTTACAAGTAACATGCTACTGAAAGCAACCTTGAATTCAAGATGCATGTGTGTCTAATTGTAGTGACTCCATGAGATAAATAAACCCTTACATACCCTCACCTTATACTCTATGGGCAACACTAGTTAACAGGGTCCTTGCCAAAAACTTAGGAAAGATAAGAATGCCAATAGAATGGAGGTGTAATTTATATATAAGCCAGTAGCAATTGCAACAGATTATCAAAGCACTTACCTAGGTGGTAGTGAAGCCAAAGTTGGAGAAGTGAGAATAGAAGCCATGGAAATATAGGGGAAAAAAGGGCAGGAATTAACAAAAACTATTGGAAGAAAGGGATATTAGCTTAATGTGATCATTCCTAAAATAACTTAGTCAATGCCATTTCCTTTCTTTCAATAGTTCTGCATTGCCCTCTATATAGGATCTCTACTCTAGCATGGCTCATGTTCCATGATCAGGTTCCTGACTCTACCTCTCCACTCTCACCCCTCAACAGTTCTGCCCACATACTTTATACTTGAACTCAGTGGCTTTCAAACTAATTTTTAAAGTGAAAGAATCCCTAGTTTCAACAAAATCTTGGTTTAAAAATCACTGCACTCTGGCCAAACTAAGTAAATTTCAGTTTACCAAATATGCCATGTTTTCTTTCACTCCTATACCGTTACACTTGATGTTTCCTCTGACAGGAGTACCTTTTCTACCTTTTCTGCTTTGCTTACTCCTACTCAGTCTCTGGGACTCAACTCAAACACTATCTACTCTAGGATGCTCCCTGACCTCCCTAGCTGGTTTGAGATCCTTTTCCCTATGCTGCCATAGTACCTTGGGCATACCTCTATATGTTTATGCTATGCTTCTCTGTCTCTTTTCCTCCCTCCACCTCTCACTCTCTCTCTCCCTTCCTTCCTTTCCTTTTTACTTTCTTAAAGATTCTTTCTCAAGTACATAGCACATTTCTAGCAAATAGAGCCCAATGACTGCATAATGAATAAATTAAATACAGTAAGAAGTAGAGGAAGAAGGGGACTAAGAAAAGGCCATTGAATTTGACAACAAGGAAGTAATAAATTTTTGAGAATAAAATTTAATGAAATGGTAGGAACTGAGGTCAGATTCAAGAAATGAATGGAAAATAGAAACGCTTGTGAGGTTTTAACTCTATCTGGAAGCCTGTTAGATTGCAGGGGTCCCCAACCTCTGGGACCTAGTGCCTGATGATCTGAGGTGGAGCTGATGTAATAATAGAAATAAAGTGCACAATAAATGTAATGCACTTGAATCATCCCCAAACCATCCCTGACTCCCAAAGTCTGTGTAAAAATTGTCTTCCATGAAACTGGTCCCTGATTCCAAAAAGACTGGGGACCACTGTGAGGTTTTGTTCCTATTTAAAGAATATTCATATTTGCCCCATATTCTAGTGGGGATTTCTCACTTCACATTGAAAATGCCTTCAATAATGAATGAGTGTGTATACATACATGTATATGTGTGTACATACATATGTGTATAAATATTTTATATATATACATAATCTGAATCACATAAAATTAATTAGAATGCAAGAACTTTTAAGGTTCTCATATTAATATTGCCATAATGGACATTTAGTGATTTTAATGGATAATTTTATATAATTATCATAGTGATGATAAAATAACTCCCATGTATAGAATGCTTACTACAATCTAGTTTCTAGTCTAAAATGTTTTGCATATATTTCAGTTAATCATCATGACAACCTACAAGGTCAATATCATAAACAAGTTTTAAAATGTACTAAAGTAATCATCAGTATAAGTAGATGCCAACAAAGGCTGCAGAAAGAAAGCCTATTCAAATGAAAATCTGTAAATCCACAGTTTCTCTGCCATAAATTTGAAAATGCTGATACTTACATTTCGATTCATGTTCCTTGAATCACTTCTTTGCTGCATCTGCTTTTGTAAGTATTCATTCCTTCTTTTCATTGTAAAAATCCTAATATGAATCATAAATGATAATACTTTAAAAAGCAATCATTTATTTTGAAATAAATTATTATTGGGAATGTATATCTTCAAGCAGTATTATTTTTTATACATATTTAAACATTTGATTTAAGACTGAACATTAGAGACAATTAAAATCCAGTGTAGTGTTTTGATTAAGTGATTTTTAGCTTGTGATTTATTACTTACTACATGTTAAACATGAGTTAAACATATGATAAGTTAAACAGGCATGATTGAATTTTTTATTTAAAAATTTGTTTCAGGAATGATGTCAGCAAGATGGCTATTATGGACTGAATGTTTTTGTTTCCCACCTCCCCACCCCCAAGTTCATTGTTAAAGCCCCAACCCTCAATGTGATGGTATCTGGAGGTAGGGCTTTTGGGAAGGAATTAGGCTTAGATGAGGTAATGAGCATAGGATCTCCACAATGGGATTAGTGTCTTTATAAAAAGGGAAAAAGACCATGTGAGAACACAGAAAGAAGGTGGCCACCTATAAGTAAGGAAGAAAGCTCTTACTAGAGCCCCGCCCTGATCTCAGACTTCCAACTTAGAGATGTGTGAGAAATAAATTCCTGTTGTTTAAGCTTCCCACTCTGGTATTTTGTTATGACAGCACTAGCAGACTAAGACAGTGGTGGATTAGGAAGCTACAGGCCCTCTTTCTTTGACAGAGAAAGACTTCAAGTTAAAACAATGTGTAGACTAGAGTACCTCTGTGAGAATTCTAGAGACCAGTTGAGAAGCTACAGTATCCAGGCCATTATAAAACCAAGAAGAGGTTTCAGTGAATGGGGTAAGAATATCCATGGCATTTAGTATACCCATTTGTGTCCCTCCTCTTAAGCTTACAGAACTGAATTAGGCATAAAAAAGAATGTGCAAACTTGAAGACAGGTCATTTAAAATCAAGGCATAGGAGCTAAAATAAAGAAAAATGAAGAGAGCATAAAGGACTTATGAGACATTACTAATGTATGTATTATGAAAATCTGAAAAGGGGGGCTGCAGAGAGCTTATTTGAAGAGGTAGAAGCAACCCAAATGTCCATCAACAGATAAATGGATAAACTAAATGTGGTATATATACACAATGGAATATCATTTAGCCTTAAAATTGGGCTTCCCTAGTAGCTCAGATGGTAAACTTCCGTCTGCAATGTAGAAGACCCAGGTTCAATCCCTGGGTCAGGAAGATCCCCAGGAGAAGGAAATGGCAACACACTCCAGTATTCTTGCCTGGAGAATTCTATGGACAGAGGAGCCTGGTGGGCTACAGTTCATGGAGTAGCAGAGTTGGACATGACTGAGCAACTAACACACACACACAGCCTTAAAAACGAAGGAAATCATATCACATGCTACATCATAAATGAACCTCAAGGATATTATGTTAAGTGAAATAAGCCAGGCACCAAAAAATAAATAATGCCTAATTCCACTTACAGGCGGTATCTAAAGTAGTCAAATTTGTAGAAACAGAAAGAAGAATAATTGTTATCACTAGCCGTGGGGAGGAGGCAAAGTGGTTTTACTGTGTAATGGGTGTAGAGTTTCAGTTCTGTGAAATGAAAAAGTTCTGGAGATCTGTCTGAGAACATTGTAAATATACTTCACACTACTAAGATATACAGTTAAAAGGGGTTAAGATAGTAAATTTTATGCTATGTGTTTTTTAGCACAATTTTTATAAAATGAAAAAATAAAATTCATTTTCATGAACTCACAAGATGTTTTCAGTTGGTATATATCTTTAGTCATGTAGTCCAAATTTCTCCTTTCTCATATTAGGAAATTAAGACTCAGAAATATTAAGTAATTTGTGCAATGCTGTATAGTTAAGTGACAGAGTTGGGACATGAAGCCACATCTTAGTATTCCTACACTGCCTTCCACTCACTGATGCTACTTGTACTCTATTAGAAATTCCTTAGACAAACACAGACCAGATTCTCATCAACATCTTCCAAAAAATAAAAAATACTAACAACTGGGTAAAAAACAGGTCTAGGGAAAATTTAAGAGTTGGGAAATCAAATAACCAGTACTGAAAAGACCTCTGTTTTTTAGAGATGTTGTATATACAGCATATTAGTAATTTTAGACCCAAAAGATTTGATTTGTCAATTATAATCAGATTTTAAACCTATTTCAATAATTACTTGGAATGATGGCATGATAATGAGATATCACTCTATTATTAGAGTTTAAATGGCAAACACTCTAAAACTAAGCACTTCATTTCCTCTGAAGCTATTGTCTGTGTTTAGAAACCCTTTCATAAGAGACAGCCCAGCTAATGTAAAGATAAGCAGATTTTGCCACTCATTTCTTGTAGGCTACTCAGAAGGAGTTATGGAAAACAGATTTTATTATGTTAAGCTTCATACATGTTATTCCAGCCAAGGAACTCATCTGACTATGGATATATAATTACCAAATCAGGAAAAAGGGGCAAAAGCTGAAATTGTTATCAGGTATCTTGGGGTTATTAAAAATACAAATTCACATCTTATTTACATCTTTATTTCCCTTTAAACTTTCCAACCAATATATATATAATAACTATATATATATATTTTACAACTATAAATATATATATATGTATATGTATATATATATATTAGAATGGAAAGTTATGGAGTAGAAGAATTAATCTCCAAGGGATCAATTATAAAAGCACTTTAATTTTTGCACTCTATGTGTTCTTTAGTAAGAGTTCTACATTTGATAACTTTAACCAAGAAAGAATTACTTACTTAAGCTAAGGATACAAAAAAATTATAATAGAAGATAAAGGAGAAAAACTTGACAGACTTGTTCATCATATTTTAAAGTGCACTTGTAAAATGACAGGCATATGTAACTAGAAAACAGTAGTGGAATTTCAGTGCCTTAGTGGAATTGTTATGCCACTTGACAAACAAAAATTGATGTGTAAAATGAAGCAAAACATGAAAATCCCTGATAAATGCAGAAACATGAATTGTTTATCAGTGTTAAATATATTTAAATTTTTATAGTAAATTATTTGTATACTGATAATATAAGAAGGGTGGGGCCTTTAGCATCAAAGCAGTGCCTACATCAGACATTGTCTATATATATAATAACCCACATATACATTTTGGAAATAATTTTTAGCTGAAATATGCAATTCTATGCAGTTAATATGAGCTAAAATATTTGACTAGACATTTATAAGCAATGCAAACTGAAGGAAATCACTGAGAAATTTAAACTAAAAATAATTATTTTACTCAGTTACCTAGCCAATCACAATAAAATGTTTTGAGGTTTTTAAAACAAACAATCTGAGATATGATTAAATTTATCTTTGGTTCTTTTGTTAGGGTAGACAGTTTCATTAAACAATAGTGAATATATGCAATATTTAAAATACATTTAGGTTAGGGTTGCATCTAGGCATAAACTAGCATCCTCTCCTATGGTCTGATCTGTGGAAAACAGAAAAGTTCAGCTGCTCAAAGATACACCTATTATTTGTCTGCTGAGGAGTCTATGAAGACTCTTTAGAAAGGAGGTGGAGGATGGAAACAGAAATTCATTATCAGAGATTATATATTATCAATGTAGCATAGTTTATTGTTAGATCAGCTAGCCTAGCAGGTTGGAAAGTTTAAAGGGAATGTGACACTAAGTCAATATATTTTTATTGTGGGGAAAGACTGAGTACAGTGGGGCTCTTCCAGGAAAGCTGACCTAGACAGAGCAACTTAATTAGGGTAATTGGGAAACTGGATGATAGCTAGAGGGCATCAGCAAGTTGAAAGAATATTGATGCCATGTATATATCACCTCTATTGTATTAATATCTTTGTCCCAATTAAATGTGTGTTTCAAAAATACATATTAAGCTACTAAAATATACATATATAAAGCATCCCTTTACTTTTCCACATCACTCAATACATTAATAGTTAAGTATTCATTATTTTTTTACCTGTCAAATTCAGGCTCAGTTTCTGCTGGTGAGTATTTTTGATATCTCCCAGATTGGTCATGAAGTCTCTCTGATTGACCATGAAATCTTCCTATTCGGCCATAAGATATCTTTGATAGGACTTTAGATCTCATTGAATGGTCATGAGATCTCTTTGCATGAACATGGAATCTCTCGGAGTGGTAATGAGATCTCTCTGATTGGCCATAAGCTCTTTCTGTATAGTAACAAGATCTCTCTACTTGGCCACAAGGCCTCTCTCTTTGATCATGATATCTCCATGATTGGCTACGAGATCTTTCTGTATGGCCATGAGGTCTCTCTTCTCGACCACGAGATCTCTTTTCTTGGCCTCGAAATCTCTCTGAATAGTGTCGATTTTCTTCTGATTGTCGTTGAAATCCTTCTGATCGATGTTGGTACCCCTCTGAATGGCTTTGATTCATCTCTGCTTGGGCCTTAGACTTGTCATTGCACTTGTCCTGAAAAGAACCGCAATTTTGAAAAATGAATAAAGCATATACTCCACTGAGCTCATTAAATCATAATGATATTTTGGGGGCTGTCCCAAGATGGAGGAGGAATAGGATAGGGAGACCACTTTCTCCCCCACAAATTCATCCAAAGATCATTTGAAAGTTGAGCAGCTTCCACAAAACAACTTCTGAATTCTGGTGGAGGACACCAGGCACCCAGAGAGGCAGCCCAATCTCTTCAAAAGGAGGGATTTGATTACTGGCTTGATTGCTCTCTCCTGTTTCGACTCTCCCTTTTCTCCTCCATGTCACCTCTATCTCCTTTCTCCTTCTCTTCTCTACATAACTCTGTTAATCTCTGGGTATTCAGGACTGTGGAGAATTGTTTCACCATTAACCTAGAGGTTTTAACTTCTGTGCTGTATGGATGGAGAGAAGATGTGAGGCAACTTTAAGAGAAGGACAAAAAGCCAGAGGCAGGAGGCTTAATTCCAAAACTTCAGAACGTCATAGAATTTCTGACTCCAGGGAAATCTAATATTAGAGTTCACCCAAAGGTCTCCATATCTACACTGAAATCAAGCTCCACCCAGGAGACAACAAGTTCCTGTGCAAGACATACCATGCCAATTCTCCAGCAAAACAGGAACATAATCCTGAACATTAAAAGATGGGCTGCTAAAAGCCATGCCAAAGCCATAGACACCCCAAAACTCACTACCAGACACTTCACTGCACTCCAGAGAGAATAGATCCAGCTCCACCAACCAGAAGACAGACTCACATTATCCCGACCAGGAAACCTTGACAAGCCACCAGTTCAACCCCACCCACAAGGAATAGACTCCACAATTAAGAGGAACCATGAACTTCCAGCCTGCAGAAAGGGCACCCCAAACACAACAAGCTAAAAGAAATTAAAAGGCAGAGAAATATTCAGCTGGTGAAGGAACATGATAAAAATCAACCAAACCAAACAAAAGAGGAGGAGACAGGGAGTCTACCTGAGAAAGAATCCAGAATAATGATAATAAAGATGATCCAAAATCTTGAAAACAAAATGGAGTTACAGATAAATAGCCTGGAGACAAGGATTGAGAAGATGCAAGAAATGTTTAACAAGGACCTAGAAGAAATAAAGAAGAGTCAATGAATAATGAACAATGCAATAACTGAGATGAAAAGCACTCTGGAGGGAACAAGTAGAATAACTGAGGAATAAGAGAGGATAAGTGTGGTGGAAGATAGAATGGTGGAAATAAATGAAGCAGAGATGAAAAAAGAAAAAAGAATTAAAAGAAATGAGGGCAACCCCAGAGACCTCTGGGACAATGTTAAATGCCCCAACATTCGAATCATAGGAGTATCAGAAGAAGACAAAAAAAAAAAAAAAAAAAGGACATGAACAAATACTTGAGGAGATAATAGTCAAAAACTTCCCTAAAATGGGGAAGGAAATAGCCACCCAAGTCCAAGAAACCCAGAGAGTCCCAAACAGGATAAACCCAAGGTGGAACACCCCAAGACACATATTAATCAAACTAACAAGTTAAAAAGAGCAAATATTAAAAGCAGCAAGGGGAAAGCAACAAATAACACACAAGGGGATTCCCATAAGGATAACAGCTGATCTTTCAATAGAAACTCTTCAGGCCAGAAGGGAATGGCAAGACATACTTAAAGTGATGAAAGAGAAAAACCTACAACCAAGATTACACTACCCAACAAGGATCTCATTCAGATAATGAAGAAGAAATCAAATGCTTTATAGACAACAGAGAATTCAGCACCACCAAACCAGCTCTTCAACAAATGCTAAAGGATCATTTCTAGACAGGAAACACAGACAAGGCTTATAAAAATAAACCCCAAACAACAAATAAATGATAGCAGGATCATACTTATCAATAATTACCTTAAATGTAAATGGGTTAAATGCACCAACCAAAAGACAAAGACTGGCTGAATGGATACAAAAACGAGACCCCTATATATGCTGTCTACAAGAAACCCACCTCAAACCTAGGGACACATATAGACTGAAAGTGAAGGACTGGAAAAAGATATTACATGCAAATAGAGACCAAAAGAGAGCAGGAGAAGCAATACTCATATCAGATAAAATAGACTTTGAATAAACACTGTGATAAGAGACAAAGAAGGACACCACATAATGATCAAGGGATCAATCCAAGAAGAAGATATAACAATTATAAATATATATGCACCCAACATAGGATCACCTCAATATGTAAGGCAAATGCTAGCAAGTATGAAAGGGGAAATTAACAGTAACACAATAATAGTGGGGGATTTTAATACCCCACTAACAACTATAGACAGATCAACCAAACAGAAAATTAGCAAGGAAACACAAGCTTTAAATGAAACAATGTACCAGTTAGACCCAGTTGATATCTATAGGGCATTTCACCATAAAACAATGGATTTGAGTTCACCTTTTTCTCAAATGCACACGGAACTTTCTCTAGGATAGATCACATCCTCGGCCATAAATCTAGCCTTGGTAAATTAAAAAAAAAATTGAAATCCTTTCAAGCATCTCTCTGAACACAATACGATAAGGTTAGATGTCAAATACAGAAAAAAAATCTATTAAAAATACAAACACATGGAGGCTAAACAACACACTTCTAAATAACAGATGATGGAAGAAATCAAAAAGGAAATCAAAATATGCATAGAAACAAATGAAAATGAAAACATGACAATGCAAAACCTATGGGATTCGGTAAAAGCAGTGCTAAGAGGGAAATTCATAGCAATACAAGCCTACCTCAAGAAACAAGAGAAACATCAAATAAACAACCTAACTTTACACCTAAAGCAAATAAAAAAAGAAAAGAAGAACTCCAAAGTTAGTAGAAGGAAAGAAATCATAAAAATCAGAGCAGAAATAAATGAAAAAAGAAATAAAGGAGACTATATAAAAAATCAACAAAACTAAAATCTGGTTTTTTGCGAAGGTAAATAAAATCGACCAACCATTAGCCAGACTAATCAAGAAAAAAGGGAGAAGAATCAAATCAATAAAATTAGAAATGAAAATGGAGAAATCACAAGAGACAACACAGAAATACAAAAGACGGTAACAGCATACTATGAGCAATTATATGCCAATAAAATGGACAACTTGGAAGAAATGGACAAATTCTTAGAAAAGTATAACTTTCCAAAACTTAACCAGGAATAAATAGAAAATCTTAAAAGACCCATCACAAGCAGGGAAATTGAAACTGTAATGAAAAATCTTCAAACAAATAAAAGCCCAGGACCAATTGGCTTCGCAGGTGAATTCTACCAAAAATTTAGAGAAGAGCTAATACCTAGCCTACTCAAACTCTTCCAGAAAATTGCAGAAGGAGGTAAACTTCCAAACTCATTCTATGAGGCCACCATCACTGTACTGCCAAAACCAGAAAAATATGCCACAAAAAAAATAAAACTAAAGTCCAATATCCCTTGTGAACATAGACGCAAAACTCCTCAACAAAATTCTAGCAAACAGAATCCAACAACATATTAAAAAGATACATCATGACCAACTGGGCTTTATCCCAGGGATGCAAAGATTCTTCAATATTTGCAAATCAAGCAATGTGATACACCATATTAACAAACTGAAAGGTTAAAAACCATGTGATTATCTCAATAGATGCAGAGAAAACCTTTGACAAAATTCAATACCCAATTATGATTAAAAAAAAAAAAAAAGCTCTCCAGAAAGCAGGCATAGAAGGAACATACCTCAAGATAATAAAAGCTATACACAAAGAATCCCCAACAAACATTAACCTCAATGGCAAAAAATTGAAAGCATTTCCTCTAAAACCAGGAACAAGACAAAGGTGCTCACTCTCACCACTACTATTCAACATAGTTTTGGAAGTCCTAGCTGCAGCAATCAGAGAAGAAAAAGAAATAAAAATCTAGATTGGAAAAGAAGAAGTAAAACTCTCACTGTTTGAAAATGACATGATCCTTTACATAGAAAACCCTAAAGACACAACCAGAAAGTTTCTGGAGCTTATCAGTGAAAATAGTAAGGTTGCAGGATATAAAATTAACACACAGAAATCCCTTGCATTCCTATACACTAACAGGAGCAGCGGCTATGCTTTGCTGGAGCAGCCATGAAGAGATACCCCACGTCCCAGTAAGAGAAACTCAAATAAGACAGTAGGTGTTGCGAGAGGGCATCAAAGGGCAGACACATTGAAACCATAATCACAGAAAACTAGTCAATCTGATCACACAGACCACAGTCTTGTCTAACTCAATGAAACTAAGCCTTGCCATGTGCGGTCACCCAAGACGGATGGGTCATGGCAGAGAGGTGTGACAGAATGTGGTCCACTGGAGAAGGGAATGGCAAACCACTTCAGTATTCTTGCCTTGAGAACCCAATGAACAGAATGAAAAGGCAAAATGATAGGATACTGAAAGAGGAACTCCCCAGGTCGGTAGGTGCCCAATATGCTACTGGATATCAGTGTAGAACTAACTCTAGAAAGAATGAAGAGATGGAGCCAAAGCAAAAATAACACCCAGTTGTGGAGGTGACTGGTAATAGAAGCAAAGTCCAAAGCTGTAAAGAGCAATATTGAATAGGAACCTGGGATGTTAGGTCCATAAATCAAGGCAAACTGGAAGTGGTAAAACAGGAGAGGGCAAGAGTGAATGTCAACATTCTAGGTATCAGTGAACTAAAATGGACTGGAATGGGTGAATTTAACTCAGATGACAATTATATCCAATACTGTCGGCAGGAATCTCTTAGAAGAAATGGAGTAGCCATTATGGTCAACAAAAGAGTCTGAAATGCAGTACTTGGATGCAATCTCAAAAATGACAGATCTCTGTTAGGTTCCAAGGCAAGCCATTCAATATCACAGTAATCCAAGCCTATGCCCCAACCAGAAATGCTGAAGAAGCTGAAGTTGAACGTTTCTATGAAGACCTACAAAACCTTTTAGAACTAACAC